GCAAATACCATTTAGATAGAGAATGAAAAGTTTGGGTCCAAGGACTGAACCTTGGGGTACCCCACAGGTGAACTTTTGAAGCTCGGAATTTTCAGTGTTAACATTTTCATACTGGTACCGGTTATCCAGATAGCTCTTCAGCCAGGAATATGCTACACCTCTAATACCATAGTTTTCCAGTTTACTCATTAATATCTTGTGGTCTATTGTATTGATCTATTGGCTCAAAAATCCATGCTGTTGCTCACTTAATGCATTGTATTTTCTTTTTACAAATATCTTTTCTAAAATCTTAGAAAATTGAGGAAGTAAAGAAACTGGTCTGTAGTTGGAAAACAAATATCTATCTCCATTTTTATAAATGGGAATAACTTTCGCTATCTTCATTTTATCTGGAAAGATGCCTGTTAAGAACGTTTGATTGCATATATGTGTAAGGGGTTTGACAGTAAATTCGATAGTGTTCTTTACTATTGACATATCAATGGCATTATAATTCGTAGACTTTTTATTTTTAAATTCCTTTACAATGTCCAAAATTTCATTTTCATTTACTCCAATCAAAAACATAGAATTTATATTTTTATCACAACTATTAATGCCTTCGATGTCACTCGGCTCTATGATCTCATTAGCTAATTTAGGTCCCACATTTACAAAATATTAAATGAATTCATCAGTTATCTCTTTTTTGTTATTTGTAGTTACATCATGTTTTTAAGTGAAGTAAAAGGGATAATCTTTGTTCTTACCACCTTTTCTAATTAGGCTATTAATTATCTTCCATGTTCCTTGAATGTTGCTTTTATTTTTCTCCAGCAGTTTCCTATAATATTCCTTCTTATTGTTTCTCAGAATGCATACCAATTTATTTTTATATCTCTTGTATTTAATTTCATCCTCTTCTGATCTGCTTTTAAGAAATCTCCTATATAATGTATTTTTCTTTTTGCATGCATTCTGCAGCCCTTTTGTAATCCATGGTTTGTCTTCATAATTATTCTTGTAACTTACTTTTTTTCAGGGCAATTTTTCCCATAAAGTTTTGTAAATATAAGCAGAAATGCATTGTATGCAATATAAGGGTCTTCAACATAAACCTCTTTCCAGTCCTGTTTTCTTTAACTTTTCTTAACTTTTCTAAGCAATGTAATCGCTGTGCATGAAAAAAAAAAAAAACTGCTAAGAAAATCATGTAATGTTTGAGTGACTTCTTGGACTTTGTGTTTATCTGAACCTTTAAATTGGTAAATGTTAAGGCAAGCAGTGCCTCCCTCTCCTTGAAACTTCTGGAAGAAAAATGTTCAAATAACTCACTCGCTCTCACAGCTAAGGTGTTTATCTCGCTGATTAGCAGGGCCTCATAAATACCTAATCACTGATGCTAATCAGCCCTCTCACCTAGGGGTGAGCTAAAAATATAAATTACACACATGCAAGTTAGACTAATACACACAACCATTTTCTGCATACTTTCCCTATCAAAATAACTGTGGCACCACAGCCATTTTAATATAAAATTGCATTAATCCATCATTAACTGACAAACTATTTCCCCACATAAACTAGCTTTGACTAAGTAGCTTTTGCACCATACCATACCACAGAGTTAGTCGACTCTGGCACCCACAACTTTTGATCTCCCATCACTCTAATACCTACTGTTAACAAAAACACATTCTAACTTCTGACTTTATTAAATGAAAAAAAAACAACAGCATGGATGCGCCAACCTAGTGAGATTTTTCTCGACTCTGAAGTCTACAAATATATGTAAAATTCAAAAGATTTAATGCTAAATGCTGTGGAGGTGTGCATCTTGATTTACCAGAAGATAAAGTCAATAGAACGATGAAATAAAAGCTGGACAAGTAACGCTGAAAAAGGACCACCAGTCGTATACGTTTACCATATCATCATGTTAATGTGCATATAATAACAGTCACACAATTAAGCATGGCAGCCAACTATGATGTTGCTACAAACTGAAGCTAACAAGAATTCAGTAATAATTTACAGGGGTATTTAGAGTTCAGATACTAGTAATATTTGTTTGGTTGCATACTTAATTCAATTCAATCATGTCCTCAGTGGTACTATTAATAATGTCCATGTTGTCCTTGTTACAAAGTTGTATGTTTAAAGCTAGTCTAGTCTAGAAGACAAATGTGTTGTATTATATTGTCTTGTATTTTAAGAATTGGACTGCTAGTGGAAAGTTTGATCTGTTTGAGGTGTTGGACGAATAATCAGGGGCACCAATCATAAGGATTTATCCTCTGGGGATCATAAATGTCTTCAGGGCAATCCATCTAATAGTTAATTGAGACACAATATTGCATCCCGAACCAAAGCTGGACTGACTGATTGACAGTTGACTAACATCACCAAACCAAGTGCCATGCCACTTGTATGTCTTAAAGGAATCCAGCAGAGCAAAATGAGGAAAGAATAGTGTTTGGAGGTTGGAATACAGAGTAGGTGGGCATTACATCTAAAACACCTGAACTGAACTGAAATGATTAGTCAGTATATAAGTTATGATAACTAAAGTATTGTCCCAGTAGACACTTTTCGCCCAAAACCCTCAATTAGCATTTGAATGTGCTGACGCTTCTCACTGATGAAATGGGGAAAAGTAGTTTAATTGCAACATCTGAGCGAAGTTAGTAACAAAGACTGAATAAACAAAACATTTCTTGCAGTTATAATTACCACTATCATTGTGTTTCTCCACCATCTCTGTTGAGACTCACAGAAGACGAGTGAGAGAAACACTCATCTCATTTGACAATTTAACTTGAAATGTTTCAATTACCAAATTACAGCAATGTTGAAAGGCTGAAAAGTAAACACGAATAAAGGGTGATGAAACCATTTGAATGAAAGTGCGACATAATGAATGTGTGAGAAAAAAAGAGAGAGAGAGGGAACGTGACAGTTGCAGGTTAAACAGCTTACGCCATAGGAGGGGGATTTGGGTGCCTCTGCTAGAGGGGGATATTAGCAGGATTATCTGGCAACCCTGTTGCTGAGGTGAATAACATTAGAATCCTATTTGTAAAGACTTCCATGCTTCCTGTCCAAAATCCCCCATTTTCTCTCCACTTACTCCTGCCTCATCCTGCAATTAGTCCACTTTATATTCTCACAACCCAGATTACACTTACACACACAAGTGTAGAGCATGTTATGCATCTTATGTATATTGTATTCATGTGTATTCGGTGTGGGTGTTCCTTTCTGTGTGTGTGTGTATGTGCGGGTGTGTGTGTGGTGTGAGTGTTGTATTCCATTAGTAGTACAGGCCTCTCCGCTCCCATAGGCCACCAGGCGTGTGTGTGTCATACACACTCAGACAGTGGAGAACACCCTGAATACTAATACAGAAAGTGTTAGCATCTGTTTTGTGTGTGTGTATGTGTGTGTTTGTCTCTGTACATCTGTATGCATGTGCACCTAACAGAGATGGGGGGTATGGGGAGCTGTGTGGTGAACTGTGGTGTGAAGGAGACTGTTGAGATTGGAGTGAGTATGTGAGCATTTGAGTGTGACAGTGCGCACTATGAGGGCATTATGACGATGTGTGTGTGTGTGTGTGTGTGTGTGTGTGTGTGTGTGTTCTATGGACGCAGTCTGAGGTTAATAAATATTGACAGTGAATTATCTCTTCTGGCAGGGTCGCAGGTGGGTTCGATGGAGCAGATTGGACACACACAGCAGAGAAAAAAAGTGTGCGCACATGCACGTTCAAATTCCTCCCATTTTCTTATTCTCATGTTATTCTCTACTCCACAAGAATTCAAGTGAGTCCTTGAGCAAGGCAGTAAGGCGCAATCGTCTTTGCACTTGACCACAATAATTACCCTGCCAAGATAATAAAGCTGCCTTCTACCTTGCCAGTATGGATTCTCCACGGTTTCTGTACTAGCTAGAGGCCCCCTATCATAAGACACCACAGCAACAACACGGTGATTAGCTTCTGCTACACACTCGGATCAGAGAGTAACAGAGAGAGGGTGAGAGAGATAAACAACAAGGGAGAGATAAAGAGAGAAAAAGTGCAGCAGGGCAGGATGGAGAGAGAAGAGAAGGGGAAAGAGAAAGACAAAGAGGTAAGTGCGAAGGGAGCACAACAGGATGTTTTCACTGTAAACCTACTTAAGAAAAGGATTTGCTCAACAGCTAAGGGACACACACACATACAGTTTTTATTTAGCCCATTCAATGAGCGTATGGGGAGTGGTGATCGATTAATGCAGCCCAGCCCTGTGACATTGCCCAGTCATCATTCTCTCCCTCTCACACACACAAAATCATTCCTACACACACACACACACACACACACACACACACACACACACACACACACACACACACACACACACACACACACACACACACACACACGTCGGTGTCCCTGCCTGGCCGAGTTCACCACAAAGCTATAACATGGCGTAATGGTGCATAAACATGGATATGGGGGATGGGGGGGGGAAACCTTGCCAGGTCAAATTTGTACTTCTTGAAGTATTCGTGAAAGATTTCACTGAGACAGATATCAGCACTCACACAGATGTTACAGCCTGTAGGAATTTTGATGTTGACAGTGTTTCCCTTTTAACTTCACACTTCTACATTAATGATCTTGGTGCATATGCTTACAGAAATACACACTGCCAGTGGCTTATAGCCACCTGCAACCATATCTGATCTCAGCATGTTTGTAAGTATAGAGGTATGTAAAGCTTAATACATATTGATAAAACTGATATAAGTAAATGAGATATATATATATTGCCCATTTTGTTAATGGAAATATTGTGATATGGTTTCAATGTGTTCTTCTGATCTTAAAGATTTCTTCTCCTAACTTTTATCTCTTTCTTTTATGTAAATATGAAATGAAAGCACCAAAGTCATAATATGACATCAAATAAACAAAGTATTCAGTTAGATTGTGTTCACATTGCCCATTACTAAATCTCAAGTATGTGTACCTTTTTGAAGAGCAAGGAGTCGTCCATGTGTTCCGCATAGACTGAGGTGAGCCTGTATTGGTTCTCGGTGGTGATATCCATCTGATAGCCAGTCAGGACGTAGCATACTGTGCGGAACTCCTGAATTTTCCTCTGAAACACCTCCTTCAGCCTCTGGTTCCTGAGCTCTGAGCTCTCCATCTGCTTACGTAAATCTGTAACACAGACATAAAAGTAGGAAGAATACATCAGTCATATATTCTGATATTGGTCTAGAACTAGCTATATTTTCATAAGATCACTCTTTATGGACACAAGAAACTCAGGCAATCCACTCGAACACTAAGCTACATGGTACTACATCCTCCACAAGTACATGCTCAACTCATTCAGTTAAAGCAGCATAGATGGACAGCCTCATATCACATATACACTCCCTGAGGCACTCCATCTGCTCACTTAGGGTCTACAAAACACTATAATGCAAAGAGTGTAGTGGTGACTAAAGCAGTCAGCTGCATGTTCTAGCTGGGAGCAAAGAGATTCATGGAGAGGAGGAGCAGGATGGGGCTTGACTTTAATTTGCTGAAAATCAATTTGCGATAATTACTTTAATTTGAAGACTTGATTTGAGAAGGCAGAGAAATAAGTTCGTCTGAGCAAAAATGAGTCGTTATGCAGCGCAGTATTTACAAAGTTATCACTGCATAAAAAGTTAAAAGTGAGACACGTGCATGCGACAGCGTGCATAAATATATTTATTTTTGTAATATTATAAAACATTAGAAAAGGTGAACAACAGAACAACCACAAAGAGGCAAATGTTTCCTTGATATTACTGTTCACATTTACTGAAAAGTTTCTCAACAGGTTTGTGTATATAGTACTGAAACATCTGACTACAGCGTCAGACAGCTGGGGCTAACTTTTAAATTAAACCAAAAGTAAGTATTAAAAACATTGGTAATAAAAACAAGCAAAAGCACCAGAAAGAGAATTATTTGAACATGATTATTCAAGTACATCTACTGTCAAAAGAATTATACTTTACTTAAAAAAAGTACTATTCACTTTCTTACAGCCAACACCAACCAGTCACAAATTTTCAATTCTAATGCACACACACACATATTATATATTCTTGAGCAGTTAAAAGTGACAGCGCTGCATTTTTATAGCCCAAGCTTCCAACCCTGCTATGATTGACAATTATTTCTACCCATCATTCTTCTCTTCATATATCCTAGCCTATTACATTTTTATCCATCATTATTACACAACTAAATGGCTAGAAAGTATAAACTTAAGAGTCTGTGAGTGTGTCTGTCTGTGTGCCTGTCTGTCTCCTGGGTGACTGGGCTCCTCGAGTGTCAGTCAGTACTGATAAATACTGTTTCAAGACTTCAGCATTGTGACAAAACTGTCACTATATGACAGCTATCAAACTGCCCTGAAAATGGCTGTTAATTCTCAAGTGACAGCACGAAGTAGACGCTGCTTAAATTTACTGTAACATGCAGACAAATGGACACATACGCAGGGACAAGTTACTTCCCGTGCAATAGAAAAACCAATGTGCACAAGCGCACACATAAATGTGCCAATGTGTGTTTAGTTGCTAGATCAAAGTTCTTGTGGTTAGAAGATTTTTTACACCAGCTGTCAAGTTTTGAGAAAGTTAGTGACTTCTGACTTTTACCCTTAATTGGTCTCTACGGGTCTGGGTGTGCTGTCTCTTAAAAGCTGTCAAGAAAATTCCACTGCTGAGGAAGCTTCTTATTTATATATTTTTGCCTGCTCATTTTCAACCTGAACTACACCCAAAGTATGCATTGGTATTTGTGAAATGATCACAAATGAGAAATGACACAAATCATTTGTGGGGGCATTATGGTTGGGCAGACTCATCTGTAAGTGGTATTGTCTAATTTCTGGCTACATATTATTCCACTGACTTGACTTGAAATGTATCTAGAAGCCGTACAGCAGGAAGAGGGGTCAATTGTTCCACAATTTCACTTTTCACGGTAAATGATAAATAATACAACAAAAATAATCCTTCATTCAGAAAACAGTCATATGTAAATCTAGGAATAATATTTAATAATACTAACAACAGCTCAATTCACTGGTTTAATTTCCTTTTAAAATAATGCTTGATGAGTACAATAGAAGGCCAAATTATAGAATCATTCCTGTCACTTTAAACCTAGTCTTCATTTAACATGTTATTGCCATCATTATTGTTTAAAATCTCATTAAAAACTTAACTGTAGAGCTTACTTAGCTCCAAGGTCACTGGTAGAACTGCTCATCCATGCACAGACACTTAAACAGTGCCAGCAACACCTGCCATTAAAAATCTTCTCATGACCCACAGTTTAGAGTGGAAATAGACATTATTATATTAGTATAAGTGTATTATCTGTGTGCGCCTGAGCAATTTACAAAAAGAAGAAAAAGAGAAACTTTAAACGATGAAATACAATAAAAAATTAAGACATCAATTATGATGTTCTATTTGCACAAAATGCACCAAATGACTAAAATAATGATGTCAATAAAAATAATAACAAAAACAGCAATGGTTTAAAAACGCATTGGGGGACAATTGGGTTTTTTTTGCCACACCGTTCATTGCTATATTAAGCACTTCTTTTTGCAAGAGATATCTAATTTCTTATTTCATGGTGAGGTTCAACCATTACTCAGTATCTGTGCCATCTGTAACTAATGTTCAGTCATATAGAGTATATGAAGGAATAGTTCTTAAACCTGTGCCAATCTCAAAAGGCATAAATATTATTAAGTTTAACTTTGATACTTTTCCAGACATCCCATTGCATTGACCTGGTCTGAAGATAAGAACAGATATCACACATTAGGTCTGCATTATCTGCCAGGGTTTAAATTGAGCACATCGTTGAGAAACTCAATTATCATTTCCCACGAAAAAACAAAGGAACGGGAGAAAAAAGGGTCATGAAGAGACAGGCAAGACGAAAGGCAAGGGGAAATGACAGAGAAAAGACAAGAGTGAAAGGAAGTGTAAAAAGGAGAAAGAAGGCTGGAAGTTGGAAAGAGAAAAGAGGCGAGAGATGTGTTAGAGCATTGGTGAGAGTGAGTGAGAGACAGACAAAGAGCGCAGAGCAGTCTGGTCCCCAGAAGACATATTAGCCAACAGACTTCTGGCGCTGAACTACCCTGAACTCCAATTAAATATTTAACCCTGTCAAAACTACACTTCCCCCTCTAACTGTCTGTCATATACTCACACCTAAGAGAACAAAAGCCTCAATGGCCTCAAATATAAATATCAGTGAAACAATTTCCTTACCTACTTTGGTTTAGAACATAGCCAGCAGAGGGCATAGGTTAACAGTTCCTCTCATTTTATTTTTTTTTTCATTAGTCTGAAACGGAAGAGGACCTGAACACCTGTCAAAAGTGTGCTGTGGGGAAAGTAGTAAAATATCAACTTCACTGTCACTGTCATAGACATCACACATCTCCACTCTGGTAAAGAAAGTGTAGAAACGACTTTATTTCTTAAGGAAAGTTAAGACATCCCCAGGCCTTCTTCTTGTTAACGTTTACAGAGGAGCAATTGGAGCAAAGACTCCTGAATTCACCCTCCACAATTCACTATACATAATAATTTATTTTTATTACTCATTATTTATTCATCCATTTATATAATTTTTGTTTTGTGAGTCGCATAAGTGGCTACAACTTACATTTCATTGTTCAACACGATGTAGAATGATAAATAATTAAACCTTGAATGTTGTAAGGTTGACTATGACAGTTTTAGCCTTGGTAGCCAACAGTGGAAATAATCAAAGAAGTAACGGTCCAAACATAATGAACTGTTATATAACTCAGTTTTATTTACCTCTTCATACTGAACAGTGTGGTTCTATAGCACATGCAGAATATTTCAAGCATAGCGTTATTCAATAACTGGCTAATTAAAGCTCAAGTTAAGCCATTTATGTGCATGTACCTACTGTGTCCTACATTAATGTACTCTGTGTTGGTGACAATTTATTTCTCCTATAAGGTTTGCTCTGGCCCTAATCTCAGCTGAGGCACATATGTTTAGCTCCATAAAAATTTATGGTAATGGAAATGTGATGGACAATCAAAAAACCAATGCAACTGCCCACCCCTGGTTCATTTATTACGAGGCTAGTGCAAGCTAATGAGCCAGTTTAGTACAAGTGAGTCTGTAAATGTGAGTCTGTGTTGTATATCTTACCCAACACCTCCTTTGATGGCGGCAAACTGAGGCCGAGGTTGGGGGTGTGCATACTGGAGTCGTCTTGTGAATGGACCAGAGCACCTCCATCCTGCAATGAGCGCACGAGTTCCCTGAGACGTGTCACTTCCTCCCGAAGAGCCTCAACTTCCTGCTGCCGCTGTTGCTTGGCAACAGTGGTAGGGTTCATTTTGAGGTGGAGAACTCGGGTTTTCACTGGATCATAGTCTCCCTGAGACAGAAAGAGGCATAGAGACAAAGATCAGAGGTCCAGTGGAATCAAGTACGCTGTTCTTCTTCCAAACTCTGGAAGTTTGAACATTTCTGAACTGAAGAAAGAGATTAAACACACTGTTAAAAGCAACGCGATAGATAACAATAGTGCATACATTTATGCAGCAGGGTCAAAAAATCTTCCAGCAGAACTAAACTAAAATCTCTTTTACTTGTAATTATATGTCTACAACAGCATTAGATGTAGTACTAAAGCAGGTAATGAAATGAAGACAGCTTCCTTCTGTTGTTTTTGAGAATTCACATCATTTCTCTCTTCTTTCAAAAGGGATGATTGCCATATTGTGTCTGAAACTATATTTTGGTTTGGAACATGAAGGACACGCACCCCCTGCTGAACCAGTGTGGTTGAGTTGAGTGACATAATGTTAATATTTCATTAAGAGCAAGACTCAAAGAGTGCCAGACAATAAATAGTGCTGCACATTACCCTACGTAACAAAGACAAAACACTGTAACGAATAAGCATATTTCCCAAAAATATCGAATGTTTAAATAGGTCTAGCATCTGGAAAAGGAATTTTCTGGAACCAGAGAACAGTTGACACCTTTACTTAGACATATGATTTAAACTAGGACTGCACAATAAATCAGCAGCAACCGCATTACGATGAAGTACTGTAGTTCTGAAGGAAAGCCCTGGCCTACAAATCTTGTTCTTCAAATGTAAGAAAACATCACATCATCATGATTCAGCAAAAATTTAATTTGTGATGCAAAAATGATCATTCCCACAGCTGGCACTGAACTGAGATACATCTATTGTTACATTAAGATATAAACTCCATACAGTCGTACAATGGTCAAGGTCTGGTCTTCGTTTAGATGAAAAAGTACACAGTATTAATATCCAGCAGAGTGTCCTTCTGTCCTTCCCCATGGACTTTTTCCCCCTTATTGATCACGTAAACAGCATTTGAAGTTCTCACACATAATGACTCTCAGGCCTTTTGAGTATGTGTACAGCACAAAGCTCCAGCACCGATAAACACCAGATATGTCTGCAGAAGAACTGAAATTCCTTCTTACATAATACTGTGAAATGTGTGTGGTAAAAACATGGACACAGCAGAAAAGCATGAACAGGCTTTCATAATCTAAAGGCCAGGAAGAGTTTTGTGGAAGCCATCAGAGAGGGTGTGCTGAATATGATTCAGAGGAATAAATGAGGAGGAGATGAGGAGGTGAAGTGCGTGTACAAAAGCGCCTTCCAAGAAATCAATACATGTTTTCAGTCACAATGACTCAAGAAAACTTGTACATTTTAAATATTACAGTCTTTGTTGCCATTTATCATTTAACTGCACATTTATTTTTTATTTTGTCTACACAAGTGCTGCTGAAAAGAGTTTGGATGTAATAAATGGCCTTGTCTCAATTCCTTTAGATCGTGAAACACGGATGTTTTCTTGTGATATAAAAGTTTTAAAGCAATATTTTTGTGTTTTTTTGTTACTTTATTGTAACAACCACTGTATTGCGATAGTTTAGTCTGTTGGTATCCAGAATTGGCTGGTGAAGGCAGTTGAAAAAATTTGACCTTTTGTGGAAATGAGATCTCGGTCATCTTGTACAATGCACAAAGGTTATTTTCCTACTCATGTTAACATGGACACAAGCAACAACAGTCCAGTTATTCTTCGTATTGGATTAGAATGCAACTTTATAGAATTTTGGCACACTTTTGGAAATAATAAATTGCACTCATTTAGCCAGGGATTTTATCCAAAGGGACTGACAATGAGTGCATTTAACCATGTGGATACAACCCAAACTTGCATGTATCATGCAAGTATATCCGCTTTATCAAATATGTTGAACTCCTTCAAGCGCATCTAGAAACATATACATACAAACATGCACAAAATAAATTGTAGCTTGTGTTCATCACACATATTCAGTGCAAAAGCAATGCAACATTGCATGGGTGAAACAGGTCTGCTACTAAACGCTTGTGTGGGAGACAGGGAATTGGGAATTCAAACAAGTAGCTTTATTTCCAACTTTCTGTTTCTAAAGATATTTATTTTGTGTAACCTCTGAATGCTCTGCTTTTACCTAGCCTGCCAAAATCTCCTCTACAGAGGGTACAAGAGCATACAGTGAAGTTATGAGCATCAGACTGCCTACCTGCTTTATTTCCCAGTGTGCTACTCTTTGCCCTGAGCACAGAGCAGGATGGACCACCTTAGCAGAATACCCTGCACTGATAAACTACATGCAACGAATGAAGTACAACTGATATGTTTGTGAACAGAGCTTTCTTGCATTCAAATGTGGATTAAACCAGAGTAGGACTCTGAAATAAGAAAAAGGAAGTCTTAGCAGAAATTATTTTACATTATTTGATTAAGTATTTATTAATGTGTTGTTTTGTAATGTTGTGTTTTGACCTTAGAAAATACATAAAAGGGAAGTTCTACATATTGTATATAAATACAATATGTTGGCAATTAAGTGGTGTTGAACTGAATGTTTCATTAACTCCAAACAAAGGATTATTAGGAAATGTTTCATTACATCTTGATTTCATTATTACATTATATAACAGTAGCACTTTATATATCAAGCACAGTAACACAAAATTACATAACATAAAATGAGTGGAAGTGAAAAGAAAAAAAACATGGGAATTTTGCTTCCAGAAAATATTTCCTTCTTTTCTTACTATGTTTTGTTCTGACTCTTTGAGGTCTGGGTAAATGAGGAGAGTCTATCTTAGCTTAATGCCAATATAAGGAGAGACACACACAAACCGACACACACACAAACCGACACACAAACCGAAACACACACAAACCGACACACCCACACACACCGACACACACACACACACACACACACACCGACACACACACACACACCGACACACACACACACCGACACACACACACACACAGACACACACACCGACACACACACCGACACACACACAGACACACACACAGACACACACACACACACACACAGACACACACACACACACACACACACACACACACACACACACACACACACACACACACACACACACACACACACACACACACACACACACACACACACACACACACACACACACACACCAATCTGAGCTCTTGATTACTGGCTAAATTAGATTCCATATGCCCCCAAGCGACGGTTTCCAAATAAACTACAGGCGTGGGGGAGAGCAAGAGGCAGACAAGAAGAAAGGGGATATGAAGATGGGTAGCTGTGAAGGACATCGAAAACAACACTGAAAACAAAGAGGGCTGGGGTATCACTGCCTTCAGCGTAGGGGAGTAGTAGGATGGAGGGAGGGGAAAAAGACTCACAGTTATAAATAACGCTTTGTATAATTTAAAAGGAACAGAAGGATTGAGCTTTCCAAAACCAGGAACAGAGAATGTGTGTATTTATATCAAAACATTTTAAACTGGACTGCACCCACGCCACAGCCAAATAAAGTCCTGGTTTATTTTCTTCCTGACGAGGTCTTTTGAAGTTCTACATCTGTATATGGAGGGTTTATTCAAGGATGCATCTGTATATGTGTGTTGTGATAAACAGCGAGAGAAAATGGAAGGGAGAGCCAGATAGTGTCGGACAGATATGTAGATTAGAGCTGTAAACCCAGCACAAAAAGAAGACTAAAGTCCTAAAAACATAGCCACCAGCCACATGCTGTCAAAAAGCTAAAAGTCTCTCACACATACTTCCTACAAATTAGGTCAAGCAAAAGAAAATTAGAATGATTTGGCCATGCAATTCATATTTTACTTCCTGGATGCCTGGACTGAGCTAAGGGGCAAAGTTTTAATTGACTGCTCAACAGCAAAAACAAAAGGACATTTATTTCTCTTTGGCATTAAAGCACAGTGCTTTCAGAGCAAGCCAAGAAATACCATAATCATTTTTTAATTAGTCTCCTCATATATCAAACTTAAGTGAGAAAATAGGAAATCTTGTGTTCGTCCATTTCATCTTCCATGCAGAAAAAGCGGGTATGACAGACAAAAAAGTAAACAAGTGAATGAGCATGATCGCACTGACATAAAAAAACAAGAAATTTACAAAGTCAAGCAGGGGCCATCTATAAAATGGAGATAGGTAATTACCTTGCACTGCACATGCATGTGTGCATTTGAGAAAAAAGCGCAACACTACGTGTTTATAAATTATAATTTAGTTCCCCACTGTAACAATAGAAAAATGCCAAATTGCCTGAGTTTCAAAGTTAATGTTAGCAAACTGCTTATTATTACTACAGTATTTCAGTTGGCCTAGTGTGTGCGTGCGTGTGTGTGTGTACATGCATATATACAGCCTACTCTTCCACCCAGTATTTACAGTGCAGCAAGGTGGAGTGCTATTCAAAGTGCCCAGGGCTACATATCTCTTATTCATAGAACAACAATAACAACACATCTAATACCAGGGAGCAGAATCTGTTTTAAAAAAGAGCAAGAGGCAGGAAGAGAGAGCAACAGAGCAGGAGATCAAAAGCATGAGAAACAGAGAGGGAGGGGTGACAGAGAGAGTGAGAGAAGGTGTAAGAGGGAGGGGGCATCGAAGTCCAGGGAACAATGTCTGTTTTTAACACAGCTGAACAAATCGCTCTGAAGCATCCACTTATATACTAAATACAGCATCGACCACGGGGGACACATGAGTCACTGATGGAACAGGTGACACACTAATGGTGAGTGAGTGTGCATGAGTGTGAGAGCAGAGAGAAACTATCAAAAAATAACTAAGAAAAACGCACCCTCCCCTTTAAACCACATGAACTCGTGAAGTGAGGTAGAATGGACAGACAGCAGAGACACTGGAGAGACAAACAGGTTGGAGCCCCCTTCTTTATATTGGCTGTTTTACACATTTACTGTACTTGTCCAGAGGAAAACACAGAGGCAGATAATGCACAAACCTCACGGTCAACTGCTCATTCACTGA